CTATCCTATTACAGGGAGGTGAATCAAGAGTCCTAGTTGACTACTCGGCCATCCACTAGTGGTTTGTCAAACTAGTATTGTGTCTACAACATGGGAAAAGTCCTGGCTTACATTCCTGGTTTTGGAGCTTGAACTTACTTCATGTTGTGGAGAAAACACTAATGAACCAGCGCACAATGAGATAAAAATGCTCTCACTTGACTTCTTGTCTATATGCCTGAAGAAATGGATTGTTCATCCACCAAAGAGTTGAATATGCTATAGGATGTCACGTCAAAGAGTTGGAATAGATAGCCCTTTTTTTTGCTGACTTGCAGTACAGTTTGCCTAATGGTTTATGTGTGGAATCAGTAGATGTGTTAAACTTCGCTGGAACTTGAGTGATTTGAGATGGGAGAAGCATTGGGTGTCCATTCAGTTTTTACTGATGGGTGGTGTGCCATACTACGGGAGATGAAGATATCTATGTATAAGGATATTAAATCTTTAGCTTTCTCTAGAGCTCCTATATGGATAACTGGCTCTGCAACCAATCTCTAAATTTCAATGAGGGTTTGGTTGAAGTCAAGTCTGAGACTCCTAATTTGAGTAGTATATTCAACTGTAGCGGTGAAATAATCTCTTTCCCTTTCGGTGGTTCTACTCTACTGGTAGCTGGCCTTTGTTTCTTCTCAAAGAATATTGACACTCAGTGGCATTGTATATCAACTCTAGTTCTCTTCTTCTTTTGATGTATCTTGTCAAGAAGGTGACTTTTCCGGAGGAATTGAGGCAAACCATATCACCTCTATTTTGCTGTGTAGAGCATTTCAAATTTATAATATATAGACAGATTTGCTCTAGTTCTACAAGAATAACTGGATATCGGAGAAAATTTCCTGTTTGAAGAGTTAAAACACATATATAATCAATGACAACTGAGTGTTGGTTAAGCAGAGACGGAGCCAAGATTTTGTTTCAGTGGGGGCAAAGAAAATTAAAATATATTTTAGGTTTCAGAAAAATAAAATAAAGGTAGTGATAATGTTGGGATTTTAGGCTACTTTGCTAAATAAAATAACACATAATAGAAGGGTCAAATATAAATTTTATTGAGAAATATTCTTGTGATCAATCTCATTATGTGTAATATATTTATCTTCCTACTTTAGAATAGGTAGAATATTGTAATATATTTATCTTCCTATTTTAGAACATCAACCTCTGTATATATTTGTGCTATTCCCGTTGAATATAAACACACAAAATATTACACAGCAGATTGCTTATCATTTTTCTCTAGTTTTTACAAATTTTTCCAAGGTCAGTGGGGGTATGAGCCCCGACTCACCCCGTACTGGCTCAATCCTTGAGGTTAAGTGCAGTGATCCTTAACACAAAGTGTTATGAGCGGTGGTTCACATTACAGGCAAAGTCATTGTAATACTACAAGTATAGGTCACCAAAGACTTGAAAGAAGCGCATAATAGACAAGAAATATAATGGTCTTACTATAATTCTTGTGCCTATTTATTTTAATGTCTATAACAGTCTTTTACATGCTTATAACAATATTATTGCAATTTACTTGTGTTTCAATTTGTGTTATTCTTTTAAGGAGCTAATTTATGAGGGAGAGATTGGTGAATGCTGCAAAACCGTTCCCGTATCATGTCAAGATATGGAGACCTTAATATTAATAGAGTAATGTTAATGTACAAACTAATTATACAATCTATTATTTACAAACTGATGTAGCAACTCTGCATGTTTGACATATCATCTACCCTATTTAAAATATCTCTAATTTAAAATCATACTTTCATATTAAAACACGTCAATTTGTATAAGTAAGTTTATATATATAATATTATTCAAATATAACATGTAATTTGACGTGATTTGAGGATTTCCTAATGCAATTGTTGCGTAGCAACAGCCCGAAAATTCTTGTAGTGTATCCAGCTTAAAAACCACCATTGTTACGATAAATGAGAGAAATAATTCTTATATGATGTGAATATATTAGTTTGTTTTGCTATTGACTTGATATTTTGTGCAATATATTGTAGATTGAGTTCACACTAATTAATTGGCAAATGAGAACAGAAGAGTGGATGACTCAACCGCTAAGAAGCATTTTGAACCATTGATTCTCCTCTATATGATTTATGGGCTTAGTTGCTACTGTCTTTCTAACCTTGTTTTATAACTTTCTTTAATGAAACTTTTCTAAACTTGTTATATAAAAGCAGACTTATCAAGGAAAAAAAAATAAATAATGACCTTCTACCTACCAATTTGAACTGTATTTTTTGGTTTAAAAAATAAGGTAGGGTTAAATTGCTAAAAGTGATCGATAGACAACCGATAGACAATAAGGTAAGGTTAAATAAATGTCTATCTGCTGGTTATTGGTCACTCGAACGACAAAGCTAAATTTCTGTTTTTCGGGGTCTATCCGTGTCTATCAGATATAATTTGTTTTGTTTGAGAATATTTTTGAGCAATAACTAATCAATATAGTTCAACACAAAGGTAATCAATAGTCAAATCAATAAACCCTTATTGGACCGACCGATAGCCAAATTTCGTTATCGGTATAAAGAATCCTAAAACATAAAAATTATATCCAAAGGAAACTGATAGACCCTTATTGGTGACCAATTCATTGATGTCTATGGATTGTCTATTGATCATTTTTGTGTTGAATATATATACGTGTACACCATATAACAAATGGGAAAATGCTCGTTTGGCATCTTTAGGGTTTTCTAATTATATTGTCTTATTTTGTTTATTGCTTCTTGCATATCCAGTGCATACATTGTCATATAACAAAAAAGGATTACTATTTCTGCATTGGAGGCTCATTCGTCTTTGTAAATGCATTATTAAATTGAATGACCGAGTTACAATTGGAAGACATCCCTAGAAATTCCTCATGAAGCTCAGGAAGTATGCTAATGGCATAAAGTCTATTTCCCATGTGGCCAACCATTGGCTTTTTTTTTGTTTTGTTTTGTTTTTTTATTTTTTTGTTTTATGACTGGAGGTATCCGAGCCTGTTTACATGTATCTTAACTAATCTTTCGGGACCTTAGAACTACCGGCTGGATAAAAGCTCTAGTGACTATCTATATTAGCACCCGATGCGGCACTTGAATTCAAGATCTTTTGAACAATACATCAAAGAGTCCCTATCAACCCATTGAGTCCCTATCAATCCATTGTTGATGTCTTTCATCTACAGTTTAATTGGTTCTTTGGAATACTTTTTTTTTTTTTTTTTTTTTTTTCAGTATATGTTGTTGTAATACAATTAACCAATAATAAAGTAAGTGAACTCGGTTATCGGCTTCTCACTATGTCGCAGTTGTACTACAACAAGATCTTATTTGCGATTAAGTGACATTACATTCTTTAAAAGGGGAAAAAAAATAAAATTTCAAACAGCTAATTCATTGCCAAGTTGAGTTTTTGTACAATGAGATGACAATAAGAGGGAGATACATTTAGAGCAAAATATAATATGTGATGATGGCAAAGCCTAAGGGCTGTAAAAAGAAGGGCCACGCTTGCATTTCCATCCCTCAGGTTCATAATTTGCATACTGAATGCCCAAATGGCCCTTCTTGTGCTTGCCGATGATGGGAACTTGAATGGCCTCACATGGATTGCACCCATAACACTTGTGTACACAGCTTGGTGGAGTTGACCCCATTTTGGAATATCCTTCTTCATTTATGTTCTTAGTACCCTTCAAATTAAAGAGTTGAATCAGTAAGTATTTATGGTGTTGGCTGCTTGTAATTAATGACACAAGTGGAGAGATGAAGAGAGGGAGATGTAAAACAATAAACCTGTTTTGAGTTCATCTGTGTCTGAGTTGAGTGGATTCTGGCCTGTGATTGATCAAGCATTCAAGTAAGAAACTGAAACTTTTCTTTTCATGAAGAAGTTTTCAAGTTAAAGCCAAACAAAAAATCTTTTGGAGAAGATGACAAGGGTTGTGATCATTGTGTGCAAAGAGTTAATATTGACGCTTCACTTGACAAAAAAACCATTAAAAGTGTTGCAGTTTTGGGTTAAAATAAGCTAGCCTGGTTGATGAGCAGCTGGAGGAAGAGCATCATTTTGTTAGAACCGGTGTTTTTTTTCCTTTGTTTAACCCACTTGGATACCGTTTTAGAGTGAGACTAATTTTGTTATTAAAATGAATTGTGTGCTGTAGTCCAGTAACTCTGTAACACAAACGCAACCTTACCTCTCTGTTTTAAAAACTAGAACCCGGCCGGCCATTTGACTTGACCGTATTGGGTTGCACTTTAAATACATATTTAAAGTGCAACCAATCGCACTATATCTGCATAAAAATGCACACCATATAGCCACTGGAAATGCTCAGATTCTTTTTGTAAATTCATTTAATGATTGATGAATTACATTGGAAGACATCCTAAGAAATTCCTTATGAGCTCAGGATTTAAAGTATGCTAATAGTATAAAAACTAGTTTTACCGTGCCTCTCAACTAATCCTTCAAGACCTTGAAACTATCGGCAAATAAAACTCTAGTGGTTTCCTACATTAACACAGGATGAATTCAGAACCTCGTAAATAATATGGCTTCAGAGTCCCTATCAAAGACCTTTGATATCTCCATCTACGTTTGTCTTTTCATTATTTCCTTTGTTTAGCCTATATATATATCTTTGTATTTAGGTTAAATCATATTTTTTGTATTCAATTGAATTGTGCAATATCAATGAAACCCTAGCCTCCTCTTTTTATTATTTTCTTTGGATTGTTTAACAAGACTCACATTAGAGGCAGAGAAGTGAGCCATTTTTGATAAAGTTTTGAGTGAGAAGATGAAACAGCGTTTGTTGTTAGCTTGCTGGAGCGCTATTTATATGTAATTAGGCAAAGGGTAGTTTTGTCATAAGTGATGAAGGGTAAGAAGGTAAAATCATGTTAGAATTTTGGATAAATATCGATATATTGGTTCAGGTAATTAGCATGGGAGAAGAGGTAGCCGATATATCTGCAATAGTGGAGAGGATATCTGCTTTGCCAGAACCAATTTTACATCACATCCTGTCATTCCTTTCATTCAAACAAGTTTCTCAAACTAGTATTGTGTCTACAACATGGGAAAAATCCTGGCATACATTCCTGGTTTTGGAGTTTGAACTTACTTCAATGTGTGGAGAAAACACTTATGAACCGGCGCACAATGAGAATAAGAAATGGATTGTTCATCCACCAAAGAGTTGAATATGCTATAGGATGTCATGTCAAAGAGTTGGAATATGATATGCCCTCTTGTTTCTGCTGACTTGCAGTACAGTTTGCCTCAAATGGTTTTATGTGCTGAATCAGTAGATGTGTTAAATTTCGCTGCTGATGAAGTCATTGAGAATATACTTGCTGGATGTCCTTTGATAAAGGATCTATGTTTCCAGTATTGTTAAGGTATCGAACGGTGTAACACTGAGGAACTTGAGTGATCTGAGATGGAAGAAGCATTGGGTATCCATTCAGTTTTTACTGATGTGTGGTGTGCCATACCACGGGGGATGATGATATCTATGTGTAAGGATATTATATCTTTAGATTTCTCTAGAGCTCCTATAATGGATAAGTTGCTCTGCAACCGAATGTTTTCAATGAGGATTTGGTTGAAGTCGAGTCTGAGACTATATTCAACTATGGCGGTGATATAATCTCATTCTCTTTCGGTGGTTCTACTCTATTCCAAATAATGTTTGACACGTTATTCTAGAAATATTAACGTATTTTTTAATTATTTTTAGACCTCATAAAGTTATTAATTTCTAAATACCCCATAAAAAAAAGTTTAAAAAGTAACAAAAACACCCCTGTGATCCATGCTTGCCAGATTCTGACAACCACCGTCGGTGGTAATCAGAATCTACCACAACGGTGAATTACCGATCGAAATTAGCCGGTAATTCACCGATCTGGCAGGAAAAGCCCAGATCTGGCCATCGTTGATGGTCAACGACAGCCAAATCTTAGCCATCGTTGATCGACAACGAAGGCCAAATCTTGGTGGTAATGACGGCCATATCTTTAGCCGTCAGCCACGGTCAAAGATGGCCTTCTTTGGCCTTTTTTGGCCGTCGATGGCCACATATAGCCGTAGATCTGACCTTTTTCGGCCAGATCCGTGGTGGATCTGGCTGGAAAAAGCCATAATGATGTCTTATCGGCCAAATCCAGTCGGTATGTGTCGTTATATAATTTTCTGGTCAGATTCCTACGATAGTGGCCAGCATCTGGCAAAGCGGATGGTAGAGGTCTTTTTGTCATTTTACATATTTTCATATACTAGGGTATTTATTAAATTAGCAAACTTAGGGATTTTTTTATAAATTTTTTAATTTTACCTCATAATACTTTCATATTTAATTATCTAATACTATCTCTAAAATCTTATCCAAAATAATAAACCAGTCGCCCTCTAAGCTTTTTCATTAATGAACACTGACGGATTTGCTCTAGTTCTACAAGAGTAACTAAACACTGAGGAAACTGTTTGAAGAGTTAAAAACACATATGCAATCATTGACAATTGAGCGGGGGTTAAGTAGGGACGGAGCCAGGATTTTATTTCAGTGGGGCCACAAGAAAATTAAAATAATGGTGGTGATAATGTTGGGATTTTAGGCTACTTTGGTAAATAAAATAAAGGTAGCGATAACACATAATAGTAGAAGGGTACAAATATAAAATTTTTCCAAGGTCTATGGGGGCATGAGCCCCCACTCACCCCGTAGTGGCCCCATCCTTGAGGTTAANTACAATAAGACGATAAAACAAAGAAATGAAAATATAAACGTATTATGAATATACAAATAATATGATATGTCGCATAAGACTTGACGGAACTAGTAGAACTTGTGAGTTAAGTAAGTTAAAAGGTGTTAAAAAAGGAATGGTGGAGAGATGGTATTAGTGGGGTTAGTGTTGTTGCTTGTGTGTCTTACACCAATGGTCAATTTCAAGAATTTGATTATTAGATTTGATTTAGGCCAGATGGTGACTAAAATTTATTTATAATTAAACTTATTAAGCTGCAAATTGGGAGAAAATTGCATCACCTGTTCAGCCAAGGGTGCTCCACCACCATCCATGCTGTGTATTGCTACCTTCCCTGCAATCACACTTGCGTCTGTTTCAAGTATAATTCTGCAAAAATCAAAGGAAACTCATGAATATTTTCTGGGTCACGATAGAGAAATTTAAACGGATGGAATCCGATACTTATAGTTCACTTAAATGTGAGATCAAAGTAGGTGATCAAATAACTCGAAGACGTAGGGTGTCCTCCCGTCATTAGTAACTTGATTATGTTTAGATAATAATAGACAGCAATAACACTAGTAAACAATCCTTCAAACCTGGAGGTGCTAAGGCTAATTCATGAATTAGTACATGTTAAGAACTTAATTCGATGATCTATCAATATGGCTCAATGACTTGAAGTAGGATATCTAATCGATCCATTTTCGACGATTTTTCAGCTCCAATATTGGTTTGTATGAAGAGATATTTCTCGAAAATCTTCGAGTTTTACGAGTAATTTTACATGAAAAGCGCATGGAATCTACTTATTTAAAACTAAGTTAATTACAAGAACATCTCAAGTACACACCCTTGATCAACAATTTCATCAACACATAAAAAAATGAGATCCAGGTTCTAAAGTGCCTCCCTTTTGTCAACATTGTTCCTACATTACAAAAAAGAAAGAAGAATTTAGTTACAGTTTTTCGTTTTTCGAAAACCAGTTTTCAGATACGATACTCAAAATTTAAGTAAAAAATTAGAAAATGAAAATAAAAAATTGTTTTCTCAATTTTCTGTAGCTTTAAAATTGTAAATTATTTTTTGAATATTATATCAAACAGAAACTATTAAAAAGCGTAACCAAGAGTACCTTAGAAGAAGCGTGATTGTGTCAAAGAAACCTTGGAGCACGCTGGTTAAGAGAAGTTCATTTTCGTTTTCACCTCCGGTCACGAAAAAGTGCAGGTCCTGAACAAACTTATAGACAACAATGTTGTTCTGAAACATTGCAATCTCAGCTGCATATGAGCACATATATATACATTTCAATTGTTGTGATAAATGCTAAAAGATAAAATTTTCAGTAAAACATTATCACATCGAAGACTGTAAAATTTTGTTTTTAGCATTACATAAATACCTTCCATCCGAGCATTTGTTTTGAGAGTCTTTATGAACACATTTTTTTCGAAAGCTAACTTAGCACCATTTGTTGGCCAATCATCGGAGAAATACTTCACAGCGACACGCTTCCCTTTGGAGTCGAGAAGAAGAATGTTCTTCACCGAAGGGCAGCAATCCTATAGAACATTAAAACGAATCGTGCCATAAGAATAGAACAATAACCCCAAACTAGGCCTAAGTCAGATTTATGTTTGTAATCGAAGAAAGATGTACGATTAACTGTTATATTTAACCCAAAAAAAAAAAAAAAAAATTATAACCCACCAAATAGATTATGGAGTTTAAATCATCCAATAAAGAATCATCCCTTGATGATTCAATTAGAATTTTTTTAAGAATTTCTAGAAATTAATCTAACAAAAATTACATTGTATGACAATAAAACCTAATTTACCAATTAATCTAAAATCAAATAAATTTCATGTGATTCAACAATACATAAAGATTTGGTCAATAAAGCTTCAAATTTTCTTTTAAAAAAATTGAAATTGTTTTTTTCCTATATTAGTATCTACATTATTATTTCAATGAAATAGAGCTCTAAAAAACGAGGTAAATAGAACAGAGCTATTCAGATCAATTTCAACAACACAAAATAAAATTCATCCTGTTTAACAATGTTTGGGTTGCCCAGAAAAAAATAAATAGAATCACTATTTATGTTTCTGGTTGTATATAAAAAAAAATGAGGATCATTGAACATAAGCCCAAATTCTTTGGCCTTTTTATATTTCCTCTTCCACAAAACAGATACATAAAAACAGATCATATACAACAGAGCCTCTATGAAGAAATGAATGGATCAAAATAAGAAAGAGAGACTCACATTAGAGGGCAGAGAAGGATCCATTTTTTGATGGAGTTTTGAGTGAGGAGATGAAACAGCGTTGTTGTTTGGTAGCAATGCGGGGTAGCGCTACGTTATGTAATAGGTGAAAAAGGGTAGTTTGGCATAAGTGATGAAGGGTAAGAAGGTAAATTACGATAAAACGATGGATTAGTTCGGTAATGAATCATGGGAGAAGAGGTAGCCGATATATTGCACAGTAGTTAAGAGGATATCTGCTTTGCCAGAAACAGTTTTTACAGCACATCATGTCCTTCCTTCATTCAAACAAGTTTCTCAAGTAGCATTTTTTTTTTTTTTTTTTCTTATCGGGAGTGTTCGGATTAGCTTGTAAGCACCTCGACTAATCTTAGAGGCCCTAAAGTAACGACAGGATAAGCTTCGTGACCACCTATTAGTAGGACTAATCCCTCGAACTTGAAGTTAACGACCGAATAAACCTCTAGTGGCTATCCTATTAACAGGGGAGGTGAATCAAGAGTCCTAGTTGACTACTCGGCCACCACTTAGTTGTTTGTCAAACTAGTATTGTGTTACAACATGGGAAAAGTCCTGGCGTACATTCCTGGTTTGGAGCTTGAACTTACTTCATGTGTGGAGAAAACACTATGAACCAGCCACAATGAGAAAAAAATGTCATTGACACTCAGTGGCATTGTATATCAACTCTAGTTCTCTCTTCTTTAATGTAAGAAGGGTGACTTTTCCGAAGGAATTGAGGCAAACCATTATCACCTCTTTTGCGGTGTAGGCATTTCAAATTTATATAAAGACAGATTTGCTCTAGTTCTACAAGAAACTGGATATTGGGGAAAATTTCCTGTTTGAAGAGTTAAAACACATATATAATCAATGACAACTGAGTGTTGGTTAAGCAGAGACGGACCAAGATTTGTTTCAGTGGAGGCAAAGAAAATTAAAATATTTTAGTTTCAGAAAAATAAAATAAAGGTAGTGATAATGTTGGGATTTTAGGCTACTTTGGTAAAAAAATAACACATAATAGAAGGGTCAAATATAAATTTTATTGAGAAATATTCTTGTGATCAATCTCATTATGTGGAAATATTTATCTCCTACTTTAGATAGGCAGAATATTGAAATATATTATCTTCATTTAGAACATCGACCTCTGTATATATTGTGTTACTCCCGCTGAATATGAGCACAAATATTACACAACAGATTGCATCATTTTCTCTATTTTTACAAATTTTTCCAAGGTCCGTGGGGGTGAGCCCTGACTCACCCCGTACTGGCTCTATCCTTGAGATTAAGTGAGTGATCCTTAACAAAATGTTATGAGCGGTGGTTCACATTACAGGCAAAGTCATTGTAATACTACAGTATAGGTCACCAAAGACTTGAAAGAAGCACATAATACAACCCTGCATGTTTGACAATCATCTATCTATTTAAATTATCTAACTTAAAATTATACTGTCATATTAAAAAACGTCAGTTGTGAAGGTTAGTTTGTATGAAGAGTTTGTATATATAATATTATTCAAATATAACTGTAATCGATGTGATTTGAGGATTTCCTAATGCAATTGTTGCGTAGCAACAGCCCGAAAATTCTTGTAGTATCCAGCTTAAAACCACCATTGTTACGATAAATGAGAGAGAAATAATTCTTATATGATGTGAATATATAGTTTGTTTTGCTATTGATTGATATTTGTGCAATATATTGTAGATTGAGTTCACACTAATTATTGGCAATGAGAACAGAAGAGTGGATGACTCAACCGCTAAGAAGCATTTTGAACCATGATTCCCTCTAATAGGTTTATGTCTTAGTGTACTGTCTTTCTAACCTTGTTTATAACTTCTTTAATGAAACTTTTCTAAACTTGTTATATAAAAGCAGACTTATCAGAAAAAAAAAATAAATAAAGACTTCTACCTACCAATTTGAACTGTATTTTTGGTTTAAAAATAAGGTAGGGTAAATTGCTAAAGTGATCGAATAGACAACCGATAGACAATAGGTAAGGTTAAATAAATGTCTATCTGTTGGTTATGGTCACCCAAACGACACAAAGCTAAATTTCGTTTTTTCGAGGTCTATCCGGTCTATCAGATATTAATTTGTTTGTTTGAGAATATTTTTGTTAGCAATAACTAACAATAGGGTTCAACACAAAGGTAACCACTAGTCAAATCAATAAACCCTTATTCGACTGATAGCAAATTTCGTATCGGTGATAAAGAATCCTAAAACATAAAAATTATATCCAAAGGAAACTGATAGACCCTTGTTGGTGACCAATTCATTGATGTCTATGGATTGTCTATTGATCATTTTTGTGTTGAATATATATACGTGTACACCATATAACAAATGGGAAAATGCTCGTTTGGCATCTTTAGGGTTTTCTAATTATATTGTCTTATTTTGTTTATTGCTTCTTGCATATCCAGTCCATACATTGTCATATAACAAAAAAGGATTACTATTTCTGCATTGGAGGCTCATTCTTTTTGTAAACGCATTTATTAAATTGAATGATTGAGTTACAATTGGAAGACATCCCTAAGAAATTCCTTATGAAGCTCAGGATTTAAAGTATGCTAATGGCATGAAGTCTATTTCCCATGTGGCCAACCATTGCTTTTTTTTGTTTTATGACCAGAGGTGTTCGACCCCGCTTACACGTACCTTAACTAATCTTTCAGGACCCTGAAACTACCGGCCGGATAAGAGCTCCAATGGCTACCTATATTAACACCTGATGAGAGACTCGAATTTATGATCTTTTAAGCAATACATCAAAGAGCCTCTATCAATCCATTGAGTCCCTATCAATCCATTTTTAATGTCTCTCATCTACAGTTTAATTGGTTCTTTGGAATACTTTTTTTTTTTCAGTATATATTGTTGTAATACAATTAACCAATAATAAAGTAAGTGAACTCAGTTCTTGGCTTCTCACTATGTCCCGGTTGTACTTACATCTTTAAAAGGGGAAAAAAAAAAAAAAAAAAAAAAATTTCAAAGAGCTAATTCATTGCCAAGTTGAGTTTTTGTACAATGAGATGACAATAAGAGGGAGATACATTTAGGGCAAAATATTATATGAGATGATGGCAAAGCCTAAGGGCTGTGAAAAGAAGGGCCACACTTGCATTTCCATCCCTCAGGTTCATAATTTGCATACTGAATGCCCAAATGGCTCTTCTTGTGCTTGCCGGTGATGGGAACCTGAATGGCCTCACATGGATGGCACCCATAACACTTGTGTACACAGCTTGGTGGAGTTGACCCTATTTTGGAATATGCTTCTTCATTTATGTTCTTAGTACCCTTCAAATTAAAGAGTTGAATCAGTAAGTATTTATGGTGTTAGCTGCTTGTAATTAATGACACAAGTGGAGAGATGAAGAGAGGGAGATATAAAACAATAAACCTGTTTTGAGTTCATCTTTGTGTCTGAGTTGAGTGGATTCTGGCCTGTGATTGATCAAGCATTCAAGTAAGAAACTGAAACTTTTCTTTTCATGAAGAAGTTTTCAAGTTAAAGCCAAACAAAAAAACTTTTGGAGAAGATGACAAGGGTTGTGATCATTGTGTGCAAAGAGTTAATATTGACGCTTCACTTGACAAAAAAACCATTAAAAGTGTTGCAGTTTTGGGTTAAAATAAGCTAGCCTGGTTGATGAGCAGCTGGAGGAAGAGCATCATTAGGAGCAAAAGGCCTGCTGGCGGCAGACACCCAACTCAACATTTGAAAAGTTACAAATAGAAAACAACACAATCTTCCCTTCATTTCTTTAAAACTTCAAGTGATGATGATGATGGTGGTGGTGGTAATTTAACCAATGATGATGGCAGAGAGAAGGAGAGGAGAGTGAAAGAACTTTGAAGTTGAAGCACACACACAAACACTCATAAAACGCTTGGGGAGTTAATATGCCTGCATGGCTCAAATATAAGAAGTGAAAATGAAAACAAAGCTACCAATCAACTCCCATTTCCAAAAAACTAGCCCAGAACCTCTTAAAAGTTTCTTGGATTTCTCTCCTCTTGCATTAGCATAGAGGTGGTGGTTGCTGGCTAATGGCAAGCGGATACATTTGGGTCATGTCTATTTGTTGCCATGCAGGACTGCTACGACCAATTTTCTTTATTGGGCCCACAAATTTAAAAAAAAAAAAAAAAATTTGCAAATTCAAATAAAACTTTCCCTAAAACAAACCCTATGTCAATTTCAAAATCCCCAAATACAGATCCAACAATTCTCCCCGAATTTCCTTTCACCACATTCTCCAATCACAACCCGTCCAGGTCGCCGCCGTCCACCATCCCAATGGTTCCACTTCATTTCTATGCATCACCACCACGACGAGTGTCAGTCGAGCTGTTCTAGGTCGCCACTTGGACAACTAAAGATTACTGAACTTGCATCACTCCCTTATAGACGACAGTGTCAAAGGCAGGCAAAAAGGAAACTTATTGGACTGGTACTTTTAGAAGTATTATATTGCAACCAACATGTGTGCAAGTATGCAGAAGTTTTTTTTCTCTAGTTTGGTTCTTGACTTTCTTTCTTTGAGTGAACACTAATCTTTATCTTCTTTCCATTTTATGGGCTGCCAGAGAAACTGGAGCTTTATGTGCATGAAGAGGTTGATATCATCCGATGACCCTATGTCTGCTGAATGTATAAAGCATGGAGCAAGTCACTATCTCGAGTCCTTCTCATACAATTTAGTTGGTTATAAAATAGTTGTTGTTTAAATCATTAGGAATTGCAGATTTCATCATTATTCATCCATTTCACTGGAATGAATAATATGTGAAATTCTGGATGCTTTGTTTTATGGAAGAATTGAAAGCTTATGAACTATCCTCTTTGTGAGAGTGCCGTCCTAAACTGAAATCTCCTCAGCAAAACAGTGGAGCAGCTTGTTTGAAGATGAATTGCAATTCTAGGCAAAAACTGTTGGTGTTATTGAATTTGATTGTATTTGAAACTACCACAATTTGTTTGATTACTTCACCTATGATTTCTATGTTGGCCTGAGAAAGTGGCACAGGCTGAATACTTAACTGCCCTTTCTATTTCATTTGTCTCCATTAAATTTGGAAAAAAAATTGAACTGCGTAAATCTACCAAGAAGTATCCTCTATTTCTAGCTAGCACATCAAATTTAAGGGCCATCAGAGTATTATAGGGTTGAAAACGAACGTTTCAAAAATACAAACAAAGAACAGGCCAAACAAAAAAAAAAAAAAAAAAAAAAAAGGAGGAATGAATCTTTAACTACAATTATTTTCTAAAATACTCTTGTTCATGTTGTTTCTCACAGATAATACATAAAACCACTATTCGCACAATAAATAAAGCCAACACAAATGATAAATGGTCTATGCATAAGGGCTAAAAATTAGAACAAAAAACAGTTCACTAATTATAAATACGGGATGCAAACGAATTCAACTGTTGTCGTCTTTAAAACATATCATATCATGCTCTTTTGGCTAAGTTAAAGGATCACTCGCTCTCGCCGATAAATCCGACAAGACCATTTCTGTAAACAATCCACCTACATCCATCAAATCCACCATAAGCCGTGGCGGGACCACCACCAAAACTAGTACTAGTAAATTCATATCGACCTGAAGCTATAGAACAACCACCACGAGGACTACAAGCCTCCACTCTTACACGGCGGCCATAAAGATCCTGTAACAATAATAATTTTGAAGAAAATTACAAAAGTGCACTAGAAACCAAAAGATATGCTTCGTTATGGTTAAATCAGAGGGTGCAATAAACCATTAATAAATAAATAAATAAAATGTAGAAAATGGCATGCATGTTATGAAACAAAAATATTATAGCTCTAGCAATTGATATTTAGGTCAGCTATTAAGAATGATCTTGATATGTTAGAAGCACGTACAGGACCAAAACAATATTAGCTCTAGCAATAGAATGTTAGATCAGCATCAGCTTTTACAACAATAAAAATCCATATATATAACCATTTCATATTTCAAAAATCTACTAGATTTAAAAGGCCAAAGGTCCATCTCCTAGGTACTTAAAATTCTAAGTACACAATAATTGATCAAAATCCAAGCAATTCAAAAACAAATCCTGCGTCCTCCTTGCAAAGGGCAGTAGAAATGATCAGGTGACATAGTAGATTTTATTAACTACAATACATTGCCCTCATCCCTAATAAATGTATCCAATGACATTCCCGTAAGCACAGCAAACTGCTTAAACTATGGCAATCACCAAAATAATAGTTATTCTAGTCCTAAAATCACAAACCATTAAAAATGTCTGGTTGAATTCAATTATCACAATAAAAATGGAAGCTACATCTTCCCAATACCAGCAATTAGAAATTAATTACATCTCCCAACATAGAAAAAAGAAACAAGTACTGTCACCTGTCCATTCAAGGCCTGGATGGCACTAGAGGCCTCCTTTTTAGATCTGTATGTAACAAAGCCAAATCCTCTGGATCTACCAGTCTCGTGATGCAAAGGCACTGTAGCTGAAATGAGAAAAAGCTATAAGCATTTTTGCCAAAATGGAAACAAAATCAACTTTAACTGCAATTTTATGACAACAACAGTCTTGGAAGGGAGACAGATTAAAACACAGCCCCTGTCCTCTCTCTCCCACCCCCTCTTCCCCGAATGCAACATGCACACACAATCAATTAATCAAACAATGTTCCTTCTCCATGAACTTCAATTGCGTAGTTCAAAAATTTCCTTCCCTCCTTCCATCCGATAAATTCTCAAGTTAGTGTTAGGGACAGTTTGATTATACCCACCATATAAGAATATAACAGCGGCTAAGTACTCACCTTTAGTAACATGACCATATTTACTGAATGCTTCTCTTAGACTTTGGTCATCACAGCTATATGAAAGTCCTGCAACAAAAGAGAAGTTGAACATTGTCAATTGAAAAACCACCAAAAGAAAAAAGAACCACCGTATAACGGCTCAAAATAGTTGGACACACCTCCAACGAAAAGTTCTGAAGACATGCATCGTATTGCTTGGTAGATGGAGGGTTTTGATGCAGATATTTCACCGGCAATCTGCTTGCTAGCAGTCTGCCTAAGTATACTCCCAAACTTACCGAAGAAGGCCATTATAATAACCTAGCTCCCTTGGTTTCCATCACGATTTTATTTCCACTCTCCAAACTTTCTCGGCAACCAAACACAAAAATCTAAAAGAAAAACACTAGAACCCCAACATAAACACCATTAAAAAATAAATAAATAATACCCTAATAAATTGCGAACTGAACAACTCTACGCCTTTTTAATAAAGAGAGAGAAACGGAAACAAAAACAATGATAATTGAAGAAAAAGAATGATCGGAAGCCAAAACGAAGGAAAATTAAAGGGGGGTGTAAGGTTGAAAGACAAAAGGGTCTTGAATTTAAGTTATACTGAGTGGCCAACCAATTACTTATTAGAGAGGAAAACCAATTACTTTATTAGAAAGGAAAATGAGGGTTTTGGGAAACCAATAAGGAAAATTATCGTTTTGGGATACAAACGGATGGACAGAAAATATATGCAAAAAGTGAATACGACAAGTTTAAGCTTTTTGATTTTGTTCTTCCATCCACTTGAATTAGCCCTTTAAAAATTGATTAGTAAATTAATTAGAGACAAAATTACCTTATTCTAATTATCACACAAACGCAAATAAAGATAATCAAAACGTAAACAGACCAGTCACCACAAACATCAATCTGCCTCCAATTGAAGAGAAAAATAAAATGACAGATTTCTTCTTCCCTTCCTGATCAACTTGACTTCAAACATTACCATCAAACTAACCAAAATAATAATAATAAAAATAAACAGTTTACAGCCTACAAGTGCAAAGTCAACCTCAGTTCCTAGAGCACAATGTGAATTCGGCGGTTAAATGTAATCCAATACAGCAAATACAGTTTATACCGTCTCCGGAGATTTGGCCGGAAGGGTATGAAGCAAATACACTGATAGAGATTTGGTTTGACAAAATATTTATTTTTTCTCAGAAAGGAAAAGAATCACTTCATTATGAAATTAACAAGAATATATTAAGAATTGTCAAATCAATATATTACTTACCAATAGCTTAAAGATTTTGATAATAATATAATAAATTTAAATAGTAAGTAATAAACATAATTGCTTTATTTAACAAAGCATTTCTTTAAATATTTTCTTCAACATAATATTTATGCCTGAATTAATGTGAAATTAGAATGTCGGAAAGGATTTTTTATATCATTAATAAAATAGAATATATTATTATATGTAATAATTAAGATTCCTAATAGGAAGATATACAAGGATCCAAATTTCATAAATGGAATTTACTATAATAATCTCCATTGGATTTTAATAAACCACAGAATATTATTACATATAATAATATTTTAATAAACCTAAAAATCCCCAAATATGGGATAGCATTGTTTGGGCGTACTTGCATCGTTCTCTTACTACTACTTTGGTTGGGCATGCATAAAATTATGCTAAGAATAAAGTGACTAATAAAATGCACGAGAAAAATTATAATTTAGGTGGATGTCTATTGTCCAGTACTTGATTGTCATTAATTTTTTATCACTACAATAAAATTATTACTAAGTATTATGTAATTGTCAAGGCACGTCTTATCACGTATGATAAACTTTTTTCACTAACTTTCTATCACAAACATGACGTGATAACTCGTAATTGATTAGCTTATAATGAGTCTTGCTTATTCAACAATGTGTTATACCTGATCAAATGCGAATTCTTACATCACGTTTGTGAGAGAAAGTTAATTAAAAGAATTTATCAGCCTATCTTTGTTGTTAAACTAAATTAATTATTTAATATTTATATTTATCTTATAATTTTAATTAAAAAAATTCTTTAAAACTATTTGGTTACATATGAAAAATACTTATAAGATTTAAACTAAGCTATTTTATGTCAATAATTTCTTTTGTAAACTCTTTGACTTTATATTTTATACTATTAAAGTGTTTTTTTTTTTTATATTTTAATTGTAGAATCCTATTTTCATTTTCCTAATCCAACAATATATTTTACCTAAAAACTCTATTTTAATAAACTTTACTTCAATAAGCTCTACTTCTATAAAAGATAAACTTTAATTTTTTTTTTTTTTGGTGTGAGTTTTTTTTAAAATATATGTGTTTTTTTAAATTTAAAAAACACAAAGAAAAATGCGATCGTAAACTATTTTTGGAAACCATATCTGGACAATAGAAAAAGAAAATAATATGATACACGTTTATGTTACATAAAACTATATATTCATTATTTTTTATTTTATCAACCGCATATTTTAAGTTAATCCCTTTTTATAAAAGAAAAAAGAGTTAATGACTTTTTCCGACCCAAATAATGGTTTCATGATCTTTCCCACCTAAGACTTTTAAATTACTGCTTTATTACCCAAATTCGTATTCTAACGGCAAATAGAGAGCAAAATTGATCTAGACTATTGAGGCTTTTGAAGAGGGGAGGACGATGAGTCTTTTGATGGTGGAATGTTGAATATTGGTGGTTGGGATTGATGGAACTTGACTTAAGAGGGACGAATATGCAAACCCTAATCGCTTGATTGTTGACGATTGACGATGTTAACGACAGTAAGGTTTGAAGGGTTTCGGTGAGTGATGATTGAGAAAGAGAATGATGGTGGTATAAAGTTGCAATGATATCGGAATCGAAAATAGAATATAAATTTGAGTAATAAAGTGGTATTTTAAAAGTTTACAGTTAAAAAAGTGTCATTAAACCATTATTTAGATAGGAAAAAGTCTTTTCTCAAAAGAAAAAAGTAGTTTTACAGGTAGGATCATTATATGCTGCAATAATTAGTAATTCTTTTTCATTTTTAATATATCCTACACTTTATTTAAAATAAATATTTTTCCATATGTTAATGTCTATTAAAAAAATAAAAAAAAGTTACATTAAACCGTTGCTGTCTTTAAAGCATATGATTTCATGCCTTTTTGGAAAGGATCCTCGTCAAAGTACTTCTAAAACTTCCAGTACTTCCATTGTCAAAACTGTTTCCATCTGGAAAGTTTCCGAACCCAATATTTCCATCTTGTACACTTTCAACATCACCACCACCAACAACATCACCATAATTTCTACTGTTAAAACCTCCAGTTTTTCCACCACCATGGTTACCAGCTCCCTCGTAACCAGTATATCAGCCACCAAAACTACTGGGGTAATTTCCTCCACTTCCATAGTTGTCACCACCTCCATAACCACCTGCACCTCTAAACCACCACCACGAACTCTATCAACCGCATAATTCACTCTTAAACGACGGCCATGAAGATCCTGTAACAATAATAATTTTGAAAAAAAATTACAAAAGTGCACTTGAAACCAAAAGATATGTTTTGTTATGGTTAAATAGAGGGTGCAATAAACCATAAAAAAATAAATAAATAACATGTAGAAAATGGCATGTTATGAAACAAAATATTATATCGCTAGCAACTGATAGTTAGGTCAGCTATTAAGAATGATCTTGATATGGTAGATGCACAGGAACAAAACAATATTAGCTCTAGTTCCTTTGATGCAATTATGGAACTCTTGAAATAAGAGTTGCCGGTAGTCAGGGGGCAAAAATCTACCTTTTAGCTTCTGCTATTGCTTGATAGGTGCTTTCCGTTGGCGATGACGATAATTTTTCAATTGCTCCCACCAAGAATACGCTCTCCTTTGCAGCTTGTAGGCTAAAATCTTGACTTGCTTTTCTTTCGCTATCTCTGCTGTGTCGAAAAATCTTTCAACCTCATAAAGCCAATCAAGAAAGGCTTCTATATCCAGGTTTCCAGAAAAAGTTGGAATATCAACTTTTAGTTTGTACTCCTGAACTTGCCTACTATGCCTCCTCATGTTTCCGCCATTTTGCCCAGCATTTCTGTATAACATGGGTTCATCATAAGAACCATCAGTTGTCCTTGTTGACATGTCGATGTTGGTTACGACCCGCAATGTAATTATTCCTTCCACCAGCATGACCTTGAACAATTGCAAGGTTAGTGATTGCATCATGGAGTTCTCGATATTGACGCTCGAATCTCTCCTCTTGAGCACGGATTGCTTTCCAAAAGGTCTGCACTCAATGTCATATCGTTATGCTAACGCTTCTAGAATCCATGAGGATAAATAATTTTGGAATCCACCAAAATTCCTTGAATCAATAAGGGAAAACAGACTCTCAAAGAGACGAATTTTATATTTCATTAGATCCCCTTACAAGGTTCATAGTAATCCTTTTTATAGGATAAGAGCTTACAAACTGAAATAAAGAAAGGAATAAAATTATGCAAACTAAGACTCCTTAAAATTAAAACAATCAGCAATCTAACCTACACCTAAAATGATAATAAGAAGGGCCAAACATAAGCCTAAAATAAAGGAAATTATGGAAATTGGAATAGCTTAAATGTAACAAGAAATTCTGCACTGATTGAGGACAGTAAATGTAAGGGCAGTAAATGTAAGGGATCCTGAGAGATCCTACACCACCTTCTTTCAGTTTTCTGAAACACCTTTAAGGTCTTTGAGCCTCCGTGATAACAATCTTTCTGGTTCTATTCCTCAATAGAGTTGAGATTTCGTGAAGATCATGACTTGTTGGAACTCCCCAACTAGTTAATTAAAGATTTAGTACTTATATTCAAAAGCTTGTGTATCATTTTTTATATTTCAACTGTCTTATTTGATGTAATTGATAAAAATGAGTTTTATATACTCAAGATTCATGGATGAGCCTAATAAAGCCTTAAGCTCAGCAATTCATTACAATTTTAATCTGATGATTTCTACTCTGACTGTGGTATTAGAAATATGAATGTTATAATGAGTGAAAAAAAAAAAAAAAAATTGGACTAGTGAGAGTGATATACAATTAACATGTTGTAAAACGAAGTTTAATTTCACAAAATGCACTTACTTATTGTCAAAGTTCTGTGTGTTAATGGTAATTTTTGTATTATATCTGGAGGTGATAACTTTTTCTTCCTTGAGTTTTGGCGGAAATATTGTCATAGTAATTTGGGTAATGATTTTTCATTCCTACATTCAC